GGGGGGGGGGGAGGGGGGGGGGGGGGGGGGGGGGGGGGGGGGGGGTCCTTTACAAGGAAGCGACTTTGCGGAGAAACTCGGGAGATAAGCTGGCATCCAAAGAAGGCAATCAGTTCATCAGCTGTGAGTCGGCCTGCGAAGTGCTTTCTTTCCTGTTTTCCCTCCGCCTGCCGCTTCGCTCTCGAGGGTCCTTGCGAGTCCTCTCCTCTATAAAGGCGAGTATATATCCCCGGAAGCAGTGTATTGGGGGAATGTTGGTCCGTTGTAGCGCGTTACTGGGGATCTGGGAATATATCATAAATAAAATAATTAATTATGTGCATTACATACGAGGAGTGTTTGAAAATTAATGCCTGTTTAGGCATAACTTCCTTATTTCAAATCTTACAAAAATAAAATTTCACACATTGATGTGACACAAGAACAATTTTCGACTTTTCTGTTACCTCCTTCACAGCTATACATTTGAGCCTCCTCACAAGCCAACGTACAAATCCTCTTTCATAAAAATCCACACCTGTTTTCTTCAACCACTTCTTTACAGTACCCGTAATTTAATCCTCATCATAAATCGCATTCCATGCAAACCATCCTTCATTGGCCCAAAGAAATGAAAAGTACTTCTTTTTTTTGGAGGGGGGGAGACGATTTGACGGCACGGATGATTTTACGGCTGCTGTAAAGGAGTAGTTCAAGAAAACATGTGTTTTTGTTTGTTTTTTTTTCCAAAAGAGGATTTGAACGTTGAGTTGCGAAGTGGCGCAAGTGGGCAGCTGCAAACCCGGAGATTACATTGAAATGTAGGCAATTGCTCCTCGATGTCACCTCCATCAATGCGTAAGAACTTATTTGTATAAGATTTGAAATGAACTAGTTATACCCAAACAGGCATTACTTTTCAAACGCCCCTCGTGTTTTACTTATTGTAAAAATGTTTTACGGCAGCCGGCGTCAACGATTTTGCTTTCTCTGGTCGGGACCTGAACTACTACCTACCTACTACTGGCCCTGTCAATTGGTATGTCGTTTCGACGTGGAACCAAGGACCTTTCGTTCGCAAGGCGGAAGTTTCCGCCGACTCCGCGGGGTCGCCGAGATCGCGAGTGTCCGTCTCATCATTGCGTGGTCGATTGCTCCCTCGACACTTCTTCCGGCGATTAAAAACACGCTATAAAGAACTCCGTTAGATTATCTCATTACGCTTAATCAAGGGCATCGAACTGTCGTCCGAGACGGCAAAATTTTCGGCCAGCAAGCACGCCACGGTTCGCCAAATCGCAAAAAGTTGTGCAGGCCCTGAGATCTCCCTGATTTTTTTTTTTCATTACCAAGATTCCGCGGGAACGAGCCAGCGATGATGGAATGCACAGAACTCCCGTTTCCTCTGATCATTTACACCATCAATTTCCCCGAATCTGACATGCCCGTTTCGGTCATAATCTCGTGTCAATCGCTTCTCCCTATCCATCACAATCGACCCGTTTTCCTCGTTGGGCCTGCGAGGCGAAGCTCCGAGCCATCGAGAAATGGAGTCAAGACCATGGAGTCGAGGACTAGAGGCACATTCGTCTGCGGAACCACTAACGGTCTGGCATTCGATCGTGCCGAGAAAGACTCGTCAGGGATTCACTCTCACCGACCTTTCCGGCGAGCATGCATCGAGCAGGTAACATCGTGTTTGGAAGCTGGCACTCGGCGTCTGACCTTCAGATGCCTTCGTATGTTAAGGGTATACACGGGCTGGATTTATGGCTGAGGACCGCCGGAAGACCGAGGTCTCTCCGAAACGGGATATTTTTTTAAATCTCCAGCATCAGATATTCTCGGTTCCCTCGCGCCCGTCTCCTCATTCAACCGACACTTCAGGCGCCCCGACCTCGCGCTCGCCGCGTTCCCGACGAACGCCACCCGAAAACTGGAATCGATGGCAGCAGCGGAGACACATCGGCACCACTAGCGCCACCTCTCAATTCGATTACGAATGAAAACCTCCGCGCGTCCGAAGACGCCGCGTTCCGCCTGGTGAGCGTCGGGGCCTTCCCCGCCGTTTCGGAAGCCCCTTCCGTATCGCCTGGAGGGCTCCTGGCGAAATTTTCCTAAGGTTGCGTATGATATATCCCCGGTTATGAAATAAGGGCGTATGTTTAACGGTTCCCGACAGGTTTTGACATACGATGGTTTGCAAAGAGAAAAGGCATCCTATCGCAAACAGGAATCCACACTGTCAAACGCACGAAACGTGACAGGAAGTATGCAAGATTAGAAAAAAAACGGATCCCCCAAGTACGAATGCAACTGAGCCCCGACCAGCCATAACTCGGCGGCGGAACCCATACGGGCTTTTCTTTTTTTTCTCCTCGGGAAACCACATTCGTCTCGGGGTGGCTTCGCCACTACGCTGCAATTCAATGTACGCTTTGCAATCAAAAAAAGCCCATGTCTTACATACATCAGGGACGACGAGAAAGTACCACACAACACCAGATATCCTCGAGTGGAATATCTGAAAAGGTGATAAGCCCCTGACCCCCCGACGGAACGTAAACAGAGGAGGGGGAGACCCAACGTCGAAGGCCGGCCGAAGGGAAGAATCCTCAGCGTAGGAGTGAGCCGAGACGGCGAGGGCACAAAATGAGGCGGAAAATCCGGCCACACCGAGGGGTCATGACGTTCCACTCCCTCCGCCTTATATCGCCCGCCCTCCAACACGAGCTACATCAGGAGTTTTTAAATGGGCATTCTCATCGACACCTGGCAGAGAGCCCCGAGCACAGTCCCATAGGCTACTCCGGCCGGGCAAGCGTCGATGGTTCATCATGGCCCCGTGCATGTGATTCTACCAGTAGGTTAGAAGCAAGCGCTCTACGCACGGTTAGGCTTAGTGTTCGTGACACCGCCTTGGCCTACCGCTAGGCTTCGGTTATCTTAAACAGTAGGCCTATTTATCAAAGTTCCCTATGCCTACCTTTGGACCCTTTGGATCTTTTAACGCATTGGCATGCTTATTTTGGCTGGGGCAGAGTCGGTAGAGGTTAAGCAACTCGCCTTTAAATGGTGGTAACTAAAACGTCCCGCAAGACGATATGCTCATCGCTTTCAGGGCCTTGTTCACAACACTTATAGCAGGAATTTTCAGTTGAATTGGGCACCTTTTCACGTGATTCCAAGACTCATGCATGGGAAGTGCCATATGAGTGTTGAGAGTCATCTGGCAAAGTGAAAGCATCAGTTTCAAGTGAAAAAGTTAACACAAATTCTAATTCATATTGCAATTGCAGCTTCAATGCAAATTCATTTAATGGAAATTGTTGATTGCAGTTCTCAAAGCCCTTGGTATGTTATGAACCTATATTTCAAATTAGCTAAAATTGAAATGCAGGTTCATGACCTGCTAACTCAACTCCTACATCAAAGGCATCTGGTTGTGATGTACATTGTAGGGCTACAAGAGGAGTTATTGCTGTAGTTGGAAATCTCATGAATATAGAGAAGGCAATGGAATGAATGAAGTTAAGTTGTTGAAGGAAAATCTTAAAAGTCTCATTCTAAATGGGGTATGATGCCATGAGAGAGATAGTGTAGGCATTTCACATTGTCTTTTTTCCTTCATGATGTTAGTGGCTATGAACTTCAAGGAGAGGATTTATATCATAGCCCTACAGCCTCAGATAATGCCAAAACTTCTTTGAGTTTTAATTTCTTATTGAGACTTTCAGCTTCTTCAGATGGATATGGGCAGCATGTGATATCATGTTTTGCAAGTGATATAACAGAGCATTATAGTCAACATTTTTGGCTAGACCCAAGTCTTCAGGCCCATAACCATGACATAGACTTTCAAGGGAAAGTTGAACATCCATCTGGAATTTGTACTTGAGGAAGAAATGCATTCAGAATAAATGTTTTCAGCTTTTGCTGAAGATCTTGTATGGATATAATTTTATTTACATAGTTTCATTAAACTTTTCATGAGTATTTTCGTAGGCTTTTCATAAAGTATGATTGAGTGGAAAGAAATTAGAAAGAAGACCATGAGAAAAGTTTTCCTATTGCTGCAGTTCATCAAACTGAGTGTACATAATTAAGTTAGTGCATGTAACATTCCCTGGACATGGAGGGCATATTAAGTGTATCTGAAGATAGGGTAATAGCCATTTATGTCCCTTTCATAGGTTGCTTTTTTATTATTATTTTTTTTATTAGCAGGCATTGGAAGAGAAAAGGCCTCACATTCTACCACAATATTTAAAACCAATGTGATCTGAGGCTGGCCTCTGCAATAGTTTCCATGTGTCTCACGAATGTGGACCTTGTAACATTAAACCCCCAGCCACCCTCAGTTACAGAGGCATAATTCAATTATGAATCACAAAGCAAAGCTGGGAGCTTCTGATATTAAACGTGCTGCAGTAATGAATGCTGCCACCATGGGTGCTTCAGCCATGGGATCTGTTGACTCCAGTGGCCCCCAAAATAGTGGTACACCAGCCTTCAAGGTTCCACAGGGTCGCCCAAAAGCTACAAGAAATCTGAATTTGGATGGGCCATCTCATAGCCAACCAACCACTCCAAAGAAGTCAAATTTATCTAGGTATAAATACATTTTTGGAAGTTTCTCCTGTTCATTCTTGTTGCTTCCCAGAAGAGAATGGAGATTGTGCCAATGGAAGTTGCATCTAGTTTTCGCTCATTTTGCAAAACCATGTCAGACCAAACATTGTTGTCATCATTTCAATGCCAACTTTTGGTAATGCTCTTTAAACAAGAGTTTGCAAGCAAAAATTAGCAAGTTAGAATCCAGTAGAAATGAACTCAGGCCTGCAATAACTCCAAAACATTCCATCAATGATTTCATTTTTTTTTCCATTGCAGAAGTTTTGTAAATATTTTTTGAAAGGTAGTAACTTGGTGCCATCTAACTGTTGCCATCTAACATATCTAACTGTTCTGCAGCCACTGTAAGATGCTTAACATCAACAGTGGGGATTGGATGGAGCATTTAATGCTCCTTTTATTTGCTGCATCACAAATTGGTATCTACTGTCTTTGCAAAAGAAAAAAGCTAAGTACCTATACCATAGGAACCATACAATTAATTGTAATTGTATGGTTCCTCTGTGGTTTTCAAATGGAATTAATAATATTCATTAAGAGTTATTATACATTTCCAATATCTTTTATCCCCTTAGGAAGCTCAGTCGCAGTGAGGACAGCCTTAGTCCATCCAAGAAGAAGGTTACATTGCCTCCAAAAATGAAAAATCAGCCTATTGTTCGTCCTGGGAAAGGTGTGAGACCAAAAGAGATTCCTGTTGTTAAGAACACTACAGCAACCAAACGAGTGAATGGGAAACTCAATGGAAAGTAAGTTCACCTGTTCCTGAGTGACAGTCATTTGCAACATGGAAATGTGACTTAATCATGTCCATTGTATCTCTTAGGGGAAGCTGTGAATCAATCCACAAGACTATGTCTAACAATTCCTTGGAAACAATGATTTCCTCCAAGAGTTCCATAAGTGCAAAGTCTGCTGCTGAGAACAAAGAAGTTTTGGATGCCATGAAAGAAGAGAAACGAGATCTGGAAGTACGAATCTCAGAACTGATCAAGTGCTCAGAATCAAAAACAGCAGAGATTGCATTCCTCAAAATGGAATTAAATAGATTGAAAGTGAGTTCAAGCATTAGTGGTATTGGTCATATTTTTGCATTGTGCTGTTGCATTTGTCTAATTCCCCCATTCCATTTTTTAAATCTTTTATCTTTATTCCATTTTTTGCCTCAGTCCTTGTTTGTCATGGTCATGAAATGGGTTGGAATTTCATAATATCATTAACAGGCTATAAGAGGCTGTAAAACATTTATGACCATAGGTGTATCCCATTAGTTAGATTGTTAGTGTTTTACATTCTTGCTGCATTTTGAACCAGTTTGCATTGTGCAGGCTTGTGATCTTGGTGGATGAGATGTCAGCATAAAACCTGTTTTAAGAAGGTCAATGAGAAAAAAAAGCCATGATCCCTCTCTCTATACAGACATTGTAATCAAAGGTACTGCACTTCCAATACATCCTGCATTTATCCTGTGATGATAGTCTCAATCATTGCTGAGACATCACAAAAGATTTCATTGGGATGAGGTGCACCATTCACACATACATATTCATAATAAAGAGAGGAAGGTGAGAGAGAGGGAGTGAAAAGTCATGGATTCCACCCTCTTCCCTTGCCCTTGTGGCTTGCCTTGTCCTTGCTGGACACTGTCAATGATTCACTACCACCATGATTGACATAAAGAGATTGGGTGAGGGTCTGGCAAAAGTGGACTTTTAGAAGTAATTTTCTTAACTTCTGCATTACCATTTTTATCCTTGCTGTGATAAGTATGATATGCCTTTTTTGTTCCCCAGATGAATGGAACCCATACAAGCTCATCAGATATGGAGGAGGTGGTGACTACACTTACAGCTGAGAATAGGATGTTGAAGGAGCGCCTAGTTGAGCTTGGTATAAGGGTGGACAGCAGTGCCATATCTGATGCAGAGAAAGAGCTGCTTCTGTCTCGAAATAAGGCATCTTCTGCTCCTCCATCTATCATTGGAAATGTGAGTAAGAGTGTCATTCATGTGAATCTAAGGCCTGCTCTTATTTTTTTGGTCACTTCGTCAAACCCATTTCCTCAACAGGATCCTATTGCATCTGGGATGCAGCAGACAGCAGCAGAAGCAGTTAGCTATCCAGAATCGGGGAGTCCAAATGCAGGATTTGATCAGGTTGATTGGGACAAGCAGAGTCAGAGTGCCTCCAGCCTGTCAGAGATGTCTGTTGCTTGCCTTCAAGATCGCATCATTCAAATGGAAGAGACTCACTACAGGTGATTGCTGGTTTCTTTCAGAGATCCATATTGGACCTTTATCATTTGCAATTTGTGAAATTGTATGGTACCCTGAGCTCATTATCTCCTTTAAAAGTAGTCTCCCATACACTCCTTCATAGGGATAGTTGTATATTCCCATCTTGGTAGGCTTTATATGAAGCAACACAGAATAGCTTTGGCCCATAATGGTTCTCACTTTCTTTTAGTCTTTGGGCATAAGTTTGAATATGCTCACACATGACAGGATAAATTTACGATAAATTTACCTGCTAAGGTGTTCAATGAAATAGAGAATATGAGACTGCTCAACGTACCTCCTTCATTTAAAGTGGTTGTTCTCTTGTATTTTCTGAGACTTGGCTGTCCAATTAGAAGGAGTTGTATTGTTTGTCATGCCTGCAGGTGGACTAACCAAATAATCTTTGTTTTCCTAGCACTAATGAGGAGCTTCAGGCCACACTTCAAGAGTTGACAGATCTTCAAGACCAGTTGACTGATTTGCAACTAGAGAATGACACGCTCTCAAACGAGAAGAGAGTCATTCTGGAGAGCCTGTACTCCCAAACTGAGAAATTAGAAGATGTCCGCAGTCAGAATGAGAATCTCCAGAAATTGCTGTTGAAGGAAGGTGGGAGCCAAAGCTCTTCAGAGAGGGAGCAACGTTTGCTTGCCCTGCTGAAGGTGAGAGGAGCTCTTTTTCCTTTGACAACCTCATAAATAGTGTTTATGCAATTGTGGAGTGATTCACTGGGTCTTTTCCATCAATTACAGCAAACTGAGAGTGAAAAAGAACTCTTCTACCTGAAGAAGGAAGACCTAGAGGCTCAGCTTCACTCTGCACGAGTGGCATCTCAGGAACAGCATCAGGAGATACTCCTCCTCAGAGAAAGACTGAAATTCCTAGAAGCTGGTCTGGAAAGAGGGAATTCTGACCGGAGTTTGATGGAACAGGAGCTCAAGCAGAAGAAGGAACAGATAAAGTCTCTTGAAATGGAAAATGATCAACTCCGCATCCTGGTAGAATCTCCTCAAGAAAAACTCCATGACTTCGAATCTCTGGATGGTGCAGGTCCATGCAGGTATGAGATGTTCTATTGTCTAGCAGCTCTGCAATATTTGGATAGACACATGGTCAGGCGAGAGGGTCTCATCATGATGTTGAATTGTTTAGACAGGCTCCCTTCCACTTAAAGAATACAATTTGCATAATTACCCACTTTGTTTGACTATGAAGCTCTATACATGTGAAGAGCCAGGGACCAGCTGCAATGCTTTCACCCAAAGTGAGACTTCAATGAGGTTAACTTTCCAAAAACTCTTAATTAACTTTAATACGTTATACTTTCTGTTGGAATGCAATGGTAGTGGCTCAACAGTGTGTAATGTCAGGCTAGCTGGAAGTGCTGTATTTGGATTAGAGAGCTGCTTCATTTTGGATACAATGAAACCAGTATAAAGCAGAAACCCTTAGGGATACAGATATATTCAAATTTAACAAGTTTCTCTCTTATCTCAGTTCTGTTTTATACTGGTTTTACTATACAACAAAAATGGAGAGATTAAGATTAAGTTAAGTTAAGTTAAGTATTGCTGAATATTGATTGTCTGAAAGCAATCATGGATATAATTCATGGGGGCACTTGCTTACTCTACTTTTCAGATGACTGAGGAACTTCATGCTCTCTCTCAGCCATGCAAATATAGAACAATTTTTCACTTTGACTCCTTATTGAATGTAGAAGATATTGTTGGAGCATATGGAATATGGATCATATGGAGCATATGGAGCAATAACAAATTATGGGGAAACAGCAAATGCCAATATTTTGCATTTTGTGACATAAGAACAGGAGTGTCTGTCTCCTCCTTTCATTGTTAGAAACCAAAAAATTATGGTTCTCAAGGTGCTTGGGTTATTGGTTGAAAAACCTGGAAATGGCCCTTGGTGAGATCCTCTTTAGTCCTATCCCTCCTGTTTCCCCTCCATACTTAAAATTTGAAGTCATAATCCCCTAAGGAATGAACTATATTATGTCTTTGAGAACCATCTGCAGCTAATTGTAAACATATAAGATCATGTTTCTGCTATTTTTAGAGCATAAGAACAAATGCAACCTTCCTCTCACCCTAAGGGTGAACTTTATGTATTAAGTAATGAAACATTTGTAATTTTATTTTTACTGGTGTCACCTCCCTCTTGCACCCAATGACTTTAACCTTTTGGGGTGTGAATATTTTGAATATATTGACACTCTCTCCTAGTGTTTTCCATACCTTGGCACTACACAAGAAAACTCCGGCATGGACCCCAAAAGGTTAACATATTTTTAAAGTGCTTGTAATTCTCAGAAGTTTATTATTAGTCTTGTGTTTGTGGGATTCCCTCATTGTTTCTGTCTTGAGCTCCTTTTTTAAATGCATGCTGTGCTTGATGCAAGGACCCTCTTTTTCAGTGCTGCTATTAATGGAATACGGGCTGCAGAACTCGTTGACTCTGAACGTGAGAATCTCATGGAAGAATTAAGCTGTCTCAAGGACCGTCTCAGTGTCATCACCAATGAGAATCAACAGCTGAAAGACAAGCTTGCACATTTGCATGATGAAGGCTTGGTAAGAGGAATTCAAGATTATTGTTTCAGTTGTTCCTGACTTGATGTAGGCATAGTTTTTTTTTTAATTGTGAGTGGTGAATGACATCTTAAAAGGTGGGAGCTCAATGGTGGCATTGCTCAGTTATGAGGATTTTATAGCAAGAACTTCACTTATACAGGGTGGGCCATAAAAGGGTACTTAAGGGTACATAAAAGACTTTCAGATTAGAGTCTGAGAAGAATGGTACTTTAAGAAGTGCCCAAGAAAAACCTTAGATCATTTGCTGAACTGAAGGACTTCATCATCCAAACTGTTGCTAGTATCACAAAATAAGCACTGCAGAAAATTATGCAAAACTCCTTTTGAGCATTTGCAAATATGTAGAGAAAAAGTATGTACAATTTGAAAACCTTGTGTGGACAAGACAAAAACTTTGAGAGTTTCTGCAGGAAATGCAATTTTCTGTTTGTTTCTATCTGCAATAATTAGTGTTTTATTATTTAAAAAAATGTTTACCTTTTTTGTGGTCCACTCTGTAAAAGGAACCATATGAACAGCTGCTCATTTTTATATGGTGTTCCAAAAATATACATATATTTGATGCACTTGCTTACCTTAAAATATTATCCATATCTGCAGACATTCTATAAATTATAAATGAAGATAATGCAATCAGGACTGGACATTCCTTAGAATAGGTCTCCATTGAGAGATGGGCACCATCAAGTGGGCTGAAGGAACTTATATTTGCCATCTAAGGCATTGTGGCTGCAATAAATTTATTTAAAAAGAAGATAATCATATAAGTTGATCCAATTTTTGGACAACTCCCTTTTAAATATGGAATTTGTCACTAAACTTATAATAATTTCCAACTGACCTTTTCCAGAATTCTCGCTCGGCAGCCCGCAAGGAGATCAATGACTTGGAATACAAGTTGGAGCAGGTGTTGAAGGAAAAGCAAGCAATGGCTGAAGAAAATTGCTTGCTACGTGAGAATGTGGAGCGATTGGAAGTTCAGTGCCAGTGTCATCTGGAGGACAAGAGAGCTCTCAAGGCATCTATGAATGAGAAACAAATCATTCTTACCAAGAAGGAAGCAGAGCTCCATGAAAAGGAGATGCAAATTTCATACCAAGCATCAAAGCATCAAACAGAGGTGGCTTGAGTTCCAAGAAGGTTCCTTAAAAGCCCAAAGTCCTTACTTCACAGAGAGTTTCTCACTGGATCTGAGCAATTGCAAATGATTATTAGGAAAACTTTTATCTCACCCAAGCTTCCTTCCCTTGCCCCAGCTGCATATGGATAGAACCCCATTTTTATGCTGTAACATTCATTCTTTGAGCCTTCATGGTGCTAATCTCACCAGAAATGACCTGGTCCTGGATGGAGGACATCATCCGGTATCTTGATTGACTTGGACTCATGCCAAGGAAATGCCATCTCTGGTTCAAATGAATACCAAAGTTTAGATTGGTGCTACATAAGTCTGAGTGGGCAACATTCCATGATCTTTTGCCAAGAGGATTGTTTGCCCTACTTTTACATTTCTCAGCAATATTTCATGCTTCAATTCCATTTCCTGCATATGGAAAAATCCTTCCACTGCCCTACCCTTGTCATTCACAAGGTTGCCCTCTTCTCTTGCCACATTCTTGAGGCTCTCCAACTTCTTATATCCCAGAATAATTACTTTGGGATTTTTATTTCCATGACCTTCACTTTAAATCTCCCTTCCCAAACCCAACTTTCTCCTTGACCTATGCAAGGTTATTTTGTGTATTTTGAACCTCTTTCATTTGCTATCTCTGAGCACCAGACCTGAAAATAAGTTCCTGTGTAGGCTGTAGTCTCTGGTAGGAGAATATTCTATGCCCCCGGGAGTTCTCATCTAATTATTTGGTCTTTGGTTCCAAGTTATCTTGCATCTCCATCATCAAAGTCATATGTTGTATGATCTGATCATGGTGACAAAGAAGTACACATGTTAACTTTTGGGAGAAAGGATATTCTCCCTACTCCTGAGCCACCATGTCAAAAAGCTCAGCTATCCTGTCTAAGCCTAAACAACTTACTACACAGAATACTTTCCTTGCCTTCATTCCTCCAAGTTGTTCCCCTTGTATGTTCATTTCTGCCAACTGGTCTGTCATTTAACCTTGTCCTGGTTGGGTAGATTCTGCTTTTCTCCTGGCAAGGTCTGGGCTCTCTATAGCTTAAGTCCACAACATATGCAAGCTGGTAGTTTCCATCTCTTCCTACCTTTGCACTGGATGCAGGAGACATCTCAAGGAATGGCTTCTAGCCATCGAAATTCACTTTCATTTCTTTTCTACCTGTTCTCTTCGTCTGTTGTACTCACCTTTGTTTGCCAGCTCAGAATGATGGATTAGGAAGAAGTCTCTATTCTGTGCTGCATTATGGTCATGCCTCCAGGCTTTTATACTAATGATTCTCTCCCATAGCAGCTCTCTTAAGCTCTAAGAATGTGTGTCACAATATAGAGACGAGTTCTGTTCTCAGTGCATACTGGAGGGGTTCCAGCAAAGAAAGGCTTTCTTTTTCTGTAGTTATTTTTGAATGGATGACCACCCTAAGGCAGTGCTGAACCAGGGGTCTGTTCAACTATGCCCAGGCCAAAAATAAATAACAGACAGAACAATAAAAATATAAAAAAAAGAGAGCCATGTACCTTCAAGCCAACTTCAAAAATATTGTCTTTGTATTTTATAAACACTAATTTGAGAAGCTTACAAATTTACACTGTAGTGCAGGGGGACCACTCAGTTCCCTTCACTTCCAATAGGGGTTCACAGGTTAAAAAAAGGTTGAGTACCTCTTCCTTAAGGCACCTCTCCTTGGTGGTTGTAATATTCCATTTCCACATTGCCCAATTATCATTGGGCAATATGGAAATGGGAAACAAAATCTTAATTATCTACAATTAAGAAAAGACTTGAGTATTGGTATACATTTCCATGGTTTTATCAATAGCTGGAGGAGTGGCAGAAGTTTCGAGACGATCTTCTTCTGACTGTTCGTGTTGCCAATGACTTCAGGTCTTCCGACCAGATGAAGATGGAACAACTGGAAGCAGAGAGGAAATCTTTGCAGGACCGAGTGAATTCTCTGGAAGCACAAGTTGAGCTGTTGAAAGGTACAGTATCAGGTATATACATTCAACAGTTGCAACTCATTTCCAAGTACTGATTTGTTTCATATCTTTACTGTGATGCTGTACTATTTTCCTTTTCATTCTCCAGAGAAGACAGGAGGAAGCAACTCAATGCAATCTTCTCCTCAAAGCACCTTCACCCTCGATAGGCAATACGGACCTCCAAGAAGGAGCCGCATGGACAGCACTACGCACCGGCTTTCTGTCCGGTCCCTCATTGAGAGCATTGAGAGTGCTACCAAACAAGCAAAAGGTACAATAGGTTCCTTTCTGATGTAATCTTTAGCTATGAATTATGTTTGTATGGTCTAACACTTCTGATATTTTGCAGCAAATGCCACCAGTGCTGGGAACAGTCCCTTCAGCAGTTCCAACTCAAGTTTGAGTAGCATTGGAGGTTCAGGTGCAAGCAGTGGAGGAGAACCCAAGGCCTCAAGTCTTCTCTCACCAGAATCCTTGTTGTTGTCTTGCAAACCTCCTCAGCAGCTGGACATGAACAGCAATGCAGTAGAGACAAAAACAACTCCACCTCGACTGCCACACTACAGTAAGAAATCCTTGCAGCCATATCATAAATTATATGGAGGGGATCAATTCCTATCAACATTTCATCCTTACAGTGGATCGTCTTGGAATGTCCACCCCAAATGGTCCCGTGACTGTTACTGCTCCTGCATCTATTTTGGCAAACAAGCTTGAGCCTCCAACACGGAAAATGTCTTACTTGGAATCTTCTAATAGCATTGGAACAGCAGGTACAGTTCAGGGTTAGATAATACCCAGTATTCTTTACTCCTTTGAAATGAAATGTATTGGCACGACTGGCTCTTGACATCATTCCATCTCTTGTGCTCACAGCCGAGAAGAAGGACCCTTTAAGCAACTTGTCATGCAATGGCGGTTCTAAACGAAATGCTTTGCTGAAGTGGTGCCAGTTGAAGACCCTGGAATACCCTGGAATTGATATTACCAACTTCTCCAGCAGCTGGAATGATGGATTAGCTCTTTGTGCTCTGTTGCACACATACCTGCCTGGGAAGCTGCCTCCTTTTGAAACACTGTCACCAACCAACAAGAGGAGAAACTTCACATATGCTTTCCATGCTGCAGAATCAGTTGGGATTCCAACAACTCTGGTGAGTATTTGATATTAGGTTTCAAATATGGCTTTCACAAATGATGCTTTTGTGTCATTGTTTCTGGTGATGTCTCACTTGTGTGTTTTCCTTTTTCAGGACATCAACGAGATGGTATCGATGGAAAGACCAGATTGGCAGAAGGTGATGACTTACATAACAGCTATATACAAGCACTTTGAAACTTAGATGAAGTCCTGTTCTAGCTAGAGCCTCCATCAGGGCTTCCTTCTATACTCTAGTCATTCTCTACAATTCTCACCCATGATCTTCACTTAAACATTCTACTATGCAAAATCTTGTAGATCTAGACCAGAAACAAAACCCTAAGGGATCTGTGTTTTTATAAGGTAAAGAAGAATCTTCAGTGTTCATTGATTTGCATAATTTTTTAAGATGAGGATTTAGCTTTAAAATAGACCCTGTATTTGTATTTTATGGTCTGAGATGGATATTTTTGTACAATCTCAAGAATCTCACTGTGTGAGATGCCCACCTTTTGTTTCTTTGCTTGTTCAACATTGATCATCACTTTGGTTCATTGACCTTTTCACATTTTTCTCAAAGACCAAAGTGTTCCACTTTCATGTAAGATATGAATCTCAATGTGTTCACCATGTGGGACCAAAGCTGCATTGCTTGGAATTTGTTTTAGTCCTGGAAGTGTTCATATTGAGCCTCTCAGCATCGAGAAACAAGGGTGCTGCTTGACTTTTTATGAAAATTTAACAGTGTGTGCCTTTTTGTGTTCTTTCTTTGTACCTAGCATTATCAAAATTTTCTGGGCTGTATTCATAAAAGCCTTGGAGAGAAACAAGGGAATTCATTTGGAAAGTAACTTTTCTTATAACTCTCCTAGGGCCACTTGATGAATAGAGGATTAAACTGGAGCTACTTCAACCCCCTGGTATCCCCACGCATTTGCTATGGGTTTCATCAAGGGTTGAAGTACTCCAGGTTTAACGCTGTTTGCATCAGCTGGCCTTCAGTATGAGAGGATAGCTTGCTGCATCTTGCCATTGGTTGCTAGTGTGACTTGGTTATTCATTGAATTCGACTGGAAAAGTGCGTGTCACGGACATCGACTGCTATTTGACCCCTTCAAATACCTGTGATAAGATTGGTGGCATCATGTGAAAGGTCAGTGCCTCGAGCGATCCGACCGCAGCCGTGATGTCTCGGTCTGCAGGGTTTAGGCAGCATTCCATAATCATCCATTTGAATTTCTGTCCTATGATGTTCACTATTCAGTGCTTGTTTTTCCGTTTCCTCCCGTCGATAAGGAAGAAATTTCAGCTTCAGGTGTTCATGACGTTTTTGTGGGATATCTCAAGAAAAATTCCATCCTCGTAAAGGATGCCTGAAACGTGCCTGAACAGCATCTTTTACCCGGTTCCCCATGGCCTTCACTCTGCAGTGACTAACCAAAGAGTGCTCTTACCCTGACTTGCCTTGCAAACGTGGAGGCTTCCTGAAGCATTCCGTGTGCAAACTTTCGATTCCCGATGCATATCACCTGTACCAATTTCCCTGTTTTTGTGTCTGCGTGAGGGTCTTTGTGTGCGTAAAGAAATGCATGTGCGAGTTACCTCAGTCTTCGTGTCCGTTGTTCGGTCATCCCTGGACGAGAATGCGTAATCATAATGATAAGCGGAAGTGAAAATAAAATTCTTCTTTTCCCATTTCGAGTGAATGTCTGTTCAGAGGGTAACACGAGGGTTAAGTCACACATTCAACGGATTTGAACACAAGGAAAACACTTTTCCAAATCCAGCAGGAAATTAGGATGGCAATCGGGACATCTTGGCACTAACGGAAGGAAGTTCTGGGCTCTTCTTCGTCTGAAGAGCATCGACGGCGACGACGAAGGGCGGACCACAGGGGTGTGAGCCACTGGGCTGACCAGGTTCCTCGAACCGCCAGTGTGAGCCACGGAGTTGACCTGGTTCCTCGAACCGCCAGTGAGAGCCACAGGGCCGCCCGAGTCCCTCGAACTGTCCGTGAGAGCCACGATGGTGTCCAGGCCCCTCGAACCGCCAGAGAGACCCACGGT